AAAATAAAATATCTAACGCGGGCCACGGGCAAGAGAGCATCGCGTGTGTGCCTCGTAGATCGCGAGACGATATAAACTTTCCAGGCGGGCGGAGGGGGTTCCACGGCGGAACGTATATTTGCAGAGGCATGACGAGTGCAACGAGAATTTATTAGGTGTGTTTACCGAGTAAATACGGGAGGAAAGGAAGCGTTTAAGGAAGATATTTACGGGCGGCCTGCTAAGAAGGACAGAAAGTGTCGTGGATTAGTTTCAGACGCGTGAAACACGAAAGCTCGCACTCCATTGTTGCGCTCGAGGAGGAAGGGCGCGTAGGTGCGCGTCGCGCCGTCGAATTTACGAGTTAGAATAACTCGTTTTATATTCGAGCAAACCGCTGCTACTTACAAAAACTGCCGGAGAAACAGAGAAACGGCAAATTTCCCGTGTCGTTCGTCTTCGAAACGGCATTCACGTTTATAATCCTCGCTCGTACAGCTTCTATTTTAATCCTGATATTCGAGTTTACCGCGTCGCGTCACTTTTTTCCGTTCCCACCGGCGAGAAAGACTATTTTTATTGCGCAAACTTCGTCTTTGTTTGGTTTCCACGGTATCCAACGGTGTTCCCCTATAAGGCACCCGCGAGCATTATAAACAGCGAATAAGCATTTCCTCGCTGGTTTCTGTTTTTCTTCTACCCCTGTGACCAGAAGTATTCTTTATTCGAATCCTCTTCCTCTTGGACAGCTGTATATCTTTCCTGTTTCGTATGTTCTTTTCTTCTCTTTCAGCATTTATTGACAGTATACTCTGTCCTTCATTCGCGTTTATCATTTTCTATTGAGCGCAGACAAACAGACTCTTAGATCAGTCGACAAATCTCACAGCTTATCTTGTGAATCATTCTACAGGTGCGTCGATTACACGTTATCTACGACAACTCCCCAAAAGAAAACATCACCACCATAACCACACATTTACTCTAAACGTCAATCTTCGATAAAAAATATTTTAACCAAACCCTAACAATCTCTCTTACCATCCAAGAAACTACACTCAACATCACTTCCAACATCGAATGCTTTCAGCATCTCAATTCAAAACAAAAGAATCGAAATCAATCGTTCCAACTATAATTCTAATATTAACCTTTGTCACACTCACCCTCAAACCTCCCACATAAAACGCCCGAGCCACACCCTCAACTGCACCCGAAAAAGTAGAGTCTCCCAATAATTCAAATTCCCAATATCCTCCGCCCCTCCCTCTTCTAGCTCCGCCGTCATCCGCAACTTCCTAACTTAACCCAACCCCTTCCACGGCTTCGCATGTACAGGTGGTCCTTTTTATTCGACGCTCCACCTGTTTCCCTCCAGCGAGAGGCTCGCTCCTCTCTTTGTCCTCGCACGTTTCACCGGGTCTGGCTCTGTCGGTCTTCGTGCACGCGTCTCCCTTCGCTAATCCTATGCTCACACGCATCGGCCGCCCCCCGTTCACTTTCACCCGGTCGGAAACGGCGTTCGCGATCGCTCGGAAACGCCATAGACATTCCTCGCCCCCGTCCCCGGCGCCGCGGCTCCGCCGAGATCCCCGAGCGCGCCGCCCTCTTTGCCCAGGGTGCAAGCATCACCTCACGGTTCCACGTGTGCGCTTTCACCGTGACAAAGCCAGATTTAAGCTCCGCTTACGAGTCGGAGCTTTCCAGCTGGCTCGAATTCGCCTGGGGTCCGTTCCCGTTCCCTCTCGGTTCACCGTTGCAACCCCGCCATAACGATTTTCCTCTGGGCTGACGTACCGTTATCAGGCGTAATAGACTGCGATTCGCGTGGAAGAGAGAAATATTATAAACAGAGTGGAAGGACCAGAGACGGAGAAAGAATTAAATAAGGAGGATGGGAGATAAATAAGTAATTAAAGGAAAAGGAGATAGAGAGAAGGAAGAGAGAGATATAGAGAACAAAAAAGAAAGATAAAGGTGGGGAACAATGGAGGGAGTGGAAGAAATCAAAAAGAGTGCGCCAAGCAAAAAATAGAGGATGACCAAGATAATTCTTCCTGCCTTTGATAGGCTCGTAATGCAGTGTAGCCGGTTTCGCTGGTTACACCCATCCCGAAACCGACCCAGTGAATCACGGGACAAATTCTTGGTCCAGCCGAGTTTGAGCCTTTGCGATGGCTTTCTAGCTTTTTCCCGAGCACTGCTGCGGTCGGAGATTTACAGGGAACCGGTGTAAACGTTGCGAACTGTCGGGGAAGATTGATACGTTCGCGATTTGCGTTGCTTTTAAGCTGCGCGTTGAAAGGATTCTTCGGCGGAGATACAAATGAGCATCGGCTAAATTGGTTTCGGCAGATAGCATCTTAATTCCTCTTCATTACTCGAACGCCGGGGAATTCGCGTTTCTTTTTTCTACGATACAACGATCCTCGATGGCTTTCCATGCTCGAGCGAGGACAACGAAGTATCCGAGACGACGGGAGAAGTTCGGCGATAACGGCGGCGGCGGGGGCCAACGGCGGAACGAAAGGCAAGGCCAAGGTGGCGAGTCGCCGTCGAGCGCGGCGAATTTCTGGGACAAAAGGGGAAAGTTGCCGGGGTTCGATAAAAATTAGATTAACCGGCGGGAAGTTTCGAGAGGCGAGCGCAAAGGCCGCCGGGAGGGGAACTGCAACTTTCTTTCCCCGGGATGTGCGTAAATATCCTTGAATAAAGACCGGCGGGGCGTTTCATTTTTCGAGGAGAAACTTCTCCCGCGATAGCGCGCCGTGAAATCCCGTATCGTCCACGAGATAAACGAAGAAATCGGATCGCCAGATGAGATAAGAGCGGTCAGGCTCGATTAACTCGGAGGAGGAAGTGTGTCCGTTACATCTGGGCACGCGAGGCGCGCCGGCTTCCGGATTAACGCGGTTTATCTATGATTAACACGGCTCGATTGTGCGCCTAATCAGAAATTAATTTGAATTATTAGAAGCGTCGATGCTAATCAGTTTCGAGACGCGATTCGCTGATTTCATTTGGAAGCTCTTTTAACCGGATATATTTATTACCTAACGAGACGTTGACGAGGTTTGCTGTAATTCATTTACGGTATATCCTTCGTCTACGTGTAATTAGATATGGAGGTTTCAATGTGTCGATGGCTCGTGTATCAATGGATTATGTAAAATTTAATATTGAATATCGAATCTTGTAGTTTTAAATGTTTGTAATGTTGATTAAGTGAATGAAGTTATGTTTCTTCGACTACGATTAAAACGAACGCAAGCTTCTCGTTTGATACGTATTAATCTCGCTCAGGCAGGCGGGGAAATCAATTTCGAAGCGAGGGCGAGCGTCTTTCTCTTCGTCGCGGGATCCTTTCAAGGCCAGTAGGTTAATTCGCGAAAATGATCGATCATCGCGGTCTCGGTGAAAGGAGGGGAAGGGAATAAAAAAGGAAATGGGGGCCGCGACGGGAGAATTCGACCGTGAAGCGTGGAAAATCGAGTCATCCACAGTGCGAGTCGCGCCGGACACGACGTTAACATCTGTTATGATGTAACGTGTCAGAAGGATTTTTTCGCGGCAGATTAGATTCCATCTATCGGCGATTTATGATCCAGAGCCGGGAGCGAACGAGGAACTTCACGCTTTTATAGCGTATAAAAGTCCGCGGGGTGATATAACGCGAACTGTTTTGCAGAAACGAGCGCCGTTTTATTCTAGTTTCGATTTAGCGAAACCGTGAGAGAACTTGAATTTTATTTCATCTGTCCTTAACCCTTCAACCGTGTTATTACTTCATAAATATATATACTTACTCATTTCACGAGTCTTTATCGAACTATCTTTGCAGCTCGAACAATTGCGAGATCAAATTTCGAAATGCATGTAGAGGTGAAGTTCCTAACACCAGCGTAAATGCACAACCAAAGAGATAATGACTAAATTATGCGTTAAAGAACCCTACGATCCCTGTCGATAAATGAAACTTCAAAATTTCCGGCGCCAATGGAAGCTCCTAATACACCAGCGTCGATTCGCACCGAACGAAACGAACACTCGCCTCATCCCGCGTTCCGAAATCCGTCGCTCCCCTCGTCGGATCAAACCCCAAAATTTCCTCGCGCCGCAAAACGAGAAACAAAAGCGGCGCGCGGTACGTTCCGCGAGGCAGGCGCGCACTTGACTCGCGCGCCGCTGAAAACCGCCTCGAAATTCAGCGTATAATTTCGTTCGTTCGCCGGGAAGTCTCGGAAAAAACGGGAACACTCGAACGCGGCTCGATTGAATGAGCAGCCGAGGAGCAGTCGAGATAAAGCCTGTTTACGCATCCCGCGGAGAGAGACGGGCGGCGCTGATCCGACGGGGAGAACGGAGGGAAAAAAGAGAGGAACGGCGGAAGAGAAATCCGAAAAACGAAGGGAGAGAGAGCGATCGATCGCAGCCG